CATGGGATCATCCAATCCTTGGGGTCACCCAACCAACCTTTGGGGTCATCCAATCCTTGGGGAGACCCAACTCTTTTGGGATCACCCAACCAACCCTTGGGGACACCCAACTTTTCGGGGTCATCCAACCCTTGGGATTATCCAACTCTCAGGATCCTCCAACTCTTGGATCTCTCATCCAACCCTTGGGATCCCCCAACCCTTGGGATCTCCCAACTCTTAGAGACCTTTCCAGACTTGGAACTCTCAACCAACCCTTGGGATCTTCCAATCCTTGGGATCTTCCAACCCTTGGGACCCTCCAACTCTTGGATCTCTCATCCAACCCTTGGAATCATCCAACCCTTGGGATCTTCCAACCCTTGGAATCATCCAACCCTTGGGATCTTCCAACCCTTGGAATTGTCCAACTCTTGGATCTCCCAACCAACTCTTGGAATCATCCAATGCTTGGGATCTCCCAACTCTAAGAGATCCTTCAACCCTTGGGATCTTCCAACTCTTGGATCACTCAACCAACCCTTGGGTCACTCATCCAACCCTTGGGATCATCCAAACCTTGAGATCATCCAACTCTTGGATCTCTCATCCAACCCTTGGGATCCTTCAAGCCTTGGGACCCTCCAACTCTTGGATCTCCCAACCAACCCGTGGAATCATCCAACTCTTGGATCACTCAACCAACCCTTGGGTCACTCATCCAACCCTTGGGATCATCTAAACCTTGAGATCTCTCAACTCTTAGAGATCTTTCAACCCTTGGGTCGATCAACCAACTCTTGGGACCCTCCAACTCTTGGATCTACCAACCAACCCTTGGGTCACTCATCCAACCCTTGGGATCATCCAACCCTTGGGGTCACCCAACTCTTTTGGGATCATCCAACCAACCCTTGGGATCAAGCAACTCTTTGGATCTTCCAACCCTTGGGACCCTTCCAACTCTTGGATCTCTCATCCAACTCTTGGGATCATCCAACCCTTGGTATCCCCCAGCTCTTTGGATCTTCCAACCCTTGGGACCCTTCCAACTCTTGGATCTCTCATCCAACCCTTGGGATCACCCAACCCTTGGGATCATCCAAACCTTGAGATCCCCCAACTCTAAGAGATCCTTCAAGCCTCGGATCTCTCAACCAACCCTTGAGATCCTCCAGCCCTTGAGTCATTCAACCAAGCCTTGGGATCCTCCAACTCTTGGATCTCTCATCCAACCCTTGGGTTCCTTCAAACCTTAGGATTTTCCAATCCTTGGAATCATCCAACTCTTGGATCTACCAACCAACCCTTGGGATCTTCCAACCCTTGGAATCATCCAACTCTTGGATCTACCAACCAACCCTTGCGATCATCCAACCCTTGGGATCTTCCAACTCTTGGAATCATCCAACTCTTGGATCTACCAACCAACCCTTGGGATCATCCAACCCTTGGGATCTTCCAACCCTTGGAATCATCCAACCCTTGGCTCACTCAACCAACCCTTGGGTCCCTCACCCAACCCTTGGCTGTCCCACCCACCGC